CCACGACCTGGGCTTCTGTAAATCCAGATTGCGAAACTAGGGATACAAGAATCGCCAACCTGTAACTTTTGGAAGAACCCCGTCGATGGGGGGATTTGAATTATGGGGTTCAAAAACGTGGAAAAAGCCCGAGATCATTCATACCAGCGCGTCAGAGGGTCGTAAGGACAATCACACCCAACAGATGACGGTAGTGATTCCCAGACAAGCGCTTACCGCAGATAAACTACCACCCCTGGGCTAAATCTCACCTGAGTGTTTCGTGGCTTGATAGTGAATTGTGGCGCCTGTTTCGTTCGAACTTGCGTTTGTCCTTGCTCGGTCCTGAAAAGAATTCCCGAGTGTTCCATCTGTTTCCATCTGAGGAGTTTTTAGGCTAGGGAATTTCGTACCAGTGAATCTTCTTGTTGTCCTTCTTCACGTTGTGTACCAACATTCCTTGAGGCATCTGGCTCTCGGTGATCACATGTGAACCGCCTTGGCAGGCCAGTTTCGCGGTCAGCATAGCTTGTCCTGTAAACTGGCCCATACAGTATAGGCATATGCTACAGTAGGCAACCCCCTCCTCTATGAAGGTCCATGGAAAACAAGTAAATGGACTTTCACTGACCGTATTTGTTCGTGGCCACGCAGGTGTACTCGCCAGTGTCGTCAGGAAGCGCATAGAGCAAATCGAGGCACACAAATCCGAAGTCTATCGTTGATCGGAAGCGATGTCCTGAAAATTCAACATGAACTTGTTCGGATCACATAGAGAATTCAAGCGGTACTGACCAAGCAGCACAGGTTTCTTGTCCTTGAACCATTCGATCTTCATGTACGGGTCATTGATCGGGGCAAGTTGCGTCTCGAATCGGCAGAATTCTCCTTCAGCCACACCGATATTCTGCAGCGGCGACTTGAACACTGGGGCTCTGCAAATCACTTTGTTGACAAAAAGCATAAAATTCAAGTATCTTGTATCACAAATAGAGTTTATAGTTCGCAAAACGCTGAAGCCCAAATGTTCTCAAAATAAAGCTCAGCACTAAATAACAATACCAATCTTAATGATTATCTAGCTGTGCTAAGACCATAACCTTTCC